TGTAAATCGAAGTGTCACTGCTTCAATAATTCTCAACATTCAAGCATAAATCGAAAACCCTAATTAAGCATGAATCGCACAAATTGAACAATCTTGAGCCCGACAATCACAAACAAATTCAAAGCATCGATCCCCTAATCTCTAGCATGTGAATTTAGCTACTCATATTTGGATAATCAACACACGATATCAATCTAATCATAGAATTCATAATCAACAATTAAGTGAGAAGAAATCCTTACAATCGATGAAATTCCACGGTTGAAATTAATAGTCTAGCGTAAATCCAAAGCAAGGAAGAAATCCGAGTAAAAATCCGTGTTCTTCGTTCGAAATGATAAAAGAAAAATGTAAAAACGATCGAGAAGAGAAGGAAGGGTTTCGGGTCTTGTTCGTACGTGAAAAGAATGAATGCTCTCTGATGTTCACGTTCTGCTATTTATATTAAGTGGTCCTCGGCGTGGTGAAAAGGTGCGCGTGCGTGAAGGGCCCGTGTGGCACGGCGCGGAAGTCTCTCGGAGTGGCAGGAGCATGTGGCGCGGAGGTCTCGCGGCGCGGCAGGAGATGGACTCGCGGCGTGGCAGCAGTGTTCTTCGCGGCGCGGGGCTTGCGCGAGAGGCGGCTGGGAGAAATAAGTAGTGGGCACCGCGGCGTGTTGCCTGCCGCGGCGCGGGGCGCGCATCTTGATCCTCTGTCCAACTTGTGGCGTGCGCGCGGCGTGAAGCCTGGGACTTGGGCGCGGCGCGGAGGTCTCGCGAGCTATGCTTGGGGAAACTTGTTCCAGTTGCCGCGGTGCGCTGCATGCCGCGGCGCGGGGCGTCAATATGTATCCTCTGTCCGTCACGTGGTTCATGCACGGCGCGAAGCATGAGACTCATCGCAGCGTGAGGCTCGGCACGGCGCGGGGCCTGGGCAAGTGCTTGGGCAGCTAGCACGTCATCACGTTCCGGAGTCGTTCGGGTTCGTTTGATAACGGAATTCGAATCAGCTTTTTTCCAGTGTACTCCCAACTAAATGCTCTCTTTAATCACGTTCATCCGGCACATTTATCATGAAACATAAATCCTCTCGAGACCTATAGCCTGCACACCAAAAACGACAAACTACCGGAAAAATGACCGAAAAATACTAGAAAACCCCGAATAGAGAGAAGCACGCAATGAAACATAAAACAAACTAAAAACAAACCAAAAGACTCAAAATGGGGGAAAAATAAAGGAAAAATAACAAGGAAAAACGTAACAAAAATGGGACAAACACTTAAGGAGATGAGCCCAGATGCTTGGGAATGGCTCTCTAAAAAACCACCAGAGCAGTGGTCCAAATCACATTTCAAGGATGATCCCAAATGTGATATGTTATTGAATAACTGTTGTGAAACCTTTAACTCTTGTATTCTGGAGGCCAGAGAAGAACCTATTATCACAATGCTAGAGTGGATTAGAGAATACCTAATGAAGAGAATGCAAGAGAATAGAGATAGAGCTGCAAGAAAGTGGAAGAATAGATTGTGTCCAAGAATAATGGAGCTTTTGGAGATACACAGTAAGGCAGTGGCTGATTGCATTCCAGTGAAGGCTGATGACATACACTTTGAGATAAAGTGTAACAATGGAGCACAATACTCTGTGAACTTGAAGGATAAAATTTGTTCATGTAGGTCTTGGGGATTGTCTGGAAGTTCATGCAGCCATGCTTTGAGTGCTATCTTTTTTCAAAGAGGTAATGCTGAGGACTATGTAGATGAATGCTACACAGTGTCCAAGTACATGGCTACTTATGGGAACACCTTGTATCCAATTAATGGCACTGAACTTTGGGAGGAGAACAATTTCATACCACCACTGTCACCAAACTTTGGAAGGGGTGCAGGGAGACCTTCTAAGGCCAGGAGAAGGGGAATGATGAGATGGTTGGGAAAAATAAGAAGAAAAAAAGAACTTTATCTTCTACAAAGGTGAAGAGGCAACAAAGTAAGGTGAAATGCAGCAGATGTGGTGGTGAAGGCCATAATGCAGCCACATGTTCAACTACCACTAACCAACCTCCACCTGTAACCACTAACTAACCTCCACCAGTACAAAAATTGCAGGTAATAATTTTAATATATATACTGCTACTGCTACTGACTTATGGGTGCAATTTTGTAAGTTATTGTGATATGTGTTTTAATTTCAGGTAAAAAGGAACAGTGGTCCATCCCTTGAAACCTAGCAAGTACTGTGAACCCAACTTTGTTTCCACCACTGTCAAATCCAACAGAAGATGCAAGTATTGTGATGGAAGAAGTTCCTACACAACAGTCCCAAGCACCTTTGATGGACACAATGCAAAGATCAACTCCTGGACCATCTATGTATGATCAGCTACTCAGGGAAAACATTATGCAGCCTACAAGAGCCACACATGGCGTTCAAATCAGAGGGCCTCCTACATTTACTGGAGAGAGACCTATTTTTTCTGTGGGAAGCAGCATTACCACAGGTCATAACAAGGTTGTAGTTGATAAGGGGAAAAAGTTTTTGGTACTTAACCAAAAGGGTCATGGCAATGACAAATAGTTTTTGGGTCTGTTGAACTAGGTTGATAATGGGTTGTTAGATACTTTGTAATGGTTTTTGTTGAACTCTGAACTGCTTAAGGGATCTTTTGAAGTCTGAAATTGTGATATGGATTTGTTATGGCTTTTGTAAGGAATTATGTTATGAATTTGTTATGGTTTTTTTTATATGGATTTTGTGATATGGTTTGCAGTGGATTTGGTAATGACTTTGTGCAGTGGCTTATAATGAGTTTTTGTAGTGTATGGTTTGCATTGGATTTTGGTAATGACTTTGTGCAGTGGCTTATAAGGAATTTGTGCAGTGGCTAATAAGAAAGTTGTGTCCTTTTTATGTGTTGATTTGGTATTGAAACAAAGTAACAGATTATGATTATGGTTAACAAACTAACAGGTAAATACACAACATACTTATAATCACAAAATGTTGATGCCATTACAAAGCTGTCTGAGAGCCACAATGTCAATAACATTACAAATATGCATCAACCTAATATCAATAACATCTAAATACAACAATATCAATAACATTAAAAGTAAGCATCAACCTAATATCAGTTATTCATTAACTGTTTGAGAGCCACAGAAACACATGAAAATCAACATTATCAAGAATGCTACTATTATCCTCAGAATTCTTGTTTTTCTGGTACTCTCCTTTTTGAATTTCAGCACTTCTGCCTTCAATTTCTTGTTTTCTTCTTCAAACTCTGTCAACTGTTTCTTCAATTTCTTGATTTCTTCAAACTCTGTCAACTGTTTCTTCAATTTATTGATTTCTTCTTCAAACTTCAGAACCTCAATTTTTTCAGTCTCATCCCTCTTTCTTGATTCTTCCATTTCATTCAATCTCTTGAGCAATCCAGAAATTATTTGTTGAGCACGGGCACAAAGAGGAGGATCGACCCATCCAAAAAACATGCATCCACCTGCCTGAATTCCAGCAAAAAAAAAAAAAAACTATATTAAATTACAAAGCATTTATTCATGTAAAAACATCAAATTACAAAGTTGGAGGACTTACATTCCAATAGAGGCACGAGAAAAATCTTCTTCCACAATTGGGAGTTTTCCACGAAGTTCGGATTTTAGCTCTTTTCCCGCAATTGCAATATGGATAATCCGTGCTGATGTCCGACATGTCTTTAGAGCTTCACTATTAAGTCAAATTTCTTCAATCTTGTACCGAACAAGGAGACTTCAAAAACCTAGGGTTTTTGTGCGCGATTTTAGGGTTTCGCAATTGGGGCCGATTTTTCCCCAATTTTTCTGTGAACTGTGAAGGTGTAACGCGTGGA